CAGACTCAGACCCTGAGATAATTGCAAATAGAAGCATATCTGTCTGCAGTGCTAAGCTGGACCCAGTAAGCACATTGCTGGTGAACATGGCACCCATTTTCAGCACTTGGATTCGCTGGGACAACGGGTTCCCAAACCAGGGAAATTAGGCTTCTAAATTACCTGAGAAAGGCTAGGAGTGTGCAATTCTGTAATCGCTTATCAATACCTCCACCTTCCTAGATGTGGGTTATAATGCCAGCCTGAATCCAAATCACCCTCACATTTAAAAGCCATCCACCCACATTTTCTGACCTTGTTGCTTTGGTCCGTATATATCCCTGGGATGCACCTGTCATGTTTTCCGTTCGTACCTTCAGTTACAAAATCAGTTCAGTTTATTTCAATGACAAAGCAGCAATCCATTCTTGCGCAAAGGAAGCTACTTCTAACATCGTCAAACATTTTCTCTTAACTCAGACGTATCAGACTCTTCTTCCATTCATCACTTCTAGGAATGAGGCCTTAGCCAACTGCACAAAGCTTCATTAATGCTACGCTGAGAGCAAAACCCTTAATAAAGTCTCTAAATATTTACTATGAGTCTAAGTTACTGACCAGTTCCACTCCCGTTGAAATCTGCTCTCCTTCTCCAAACACAATTATTTTAGGTCACTGACACACCAGCCAAGGAAATGACAAGACTGTATACTATGGCAGAAAGTGCAAGCAGGACCCAGTTTTAAATTCTGGCCCTGTCCCTTACTACCTGATGGACTCTTTGCAAGTTACCTTGCCTTTCCCGGTTTCCCTAACTATAAAAAGTGGACAAGAATACTAATGTCACAGAGTTCTGGGGATGATTTGAGAAAAATGTATATACATATATATGGTAACTTTAAAAAAAGGAAACTAAACATGTCCAGTATGAAATGTATGAAGCATTCATTTTCAAGTATTCTTTGACAAAGGAGCCAAGAATATACAATGGGGAAAGGACAGTCTCTTCAACAAATGGTGCTGGGAAAACTGGACAGCCACATGCAGAAGAACGAAACTGGGCCACTATCTTACACCATACATGAAAATGAACTCGAAATGGATTAAAACCTTGCAAATAAGGCCTGAAACCATAAATTGCCTAGAACATACAGGCGATAAGCTCCCTGACACTGGTCTGAACAATGAATTTTTGGATTTGACACCAAAATCAAAGGCAATGAAGCAAAAATAAAACACGTGGGTCTGTATCAAATTAAAGTATTCTCACAGATAGTAACCTATGCTTGAAACTCAGAGTGTTTTTTGGCCATTTCAAATTCGTTCCCCTTTGAGAAAGCAAAAGTGTTGGTGATTTGCATAGAGTCACCGTGTTGTGGAGTATAGTTTATCTGGTGAGAGATAACTCAAAGACTAACCAACAGTTGAGGAACCAGAGCATGGGCAATTTTTAACCTTCCCAGATAACGAATAGATCTCTGAAGGCCAGAATTAGTCCAAAGAGCTCCCCACCGTGGTTCTAAGAGGACCCAGAGGCCCAGTAACTGAGAACTCTTTTCTAACCAATGAAAGTAAATAAGGGCAAGTCGACTGTGAGGTGGGCACCATGCCAGAAGCCATAAAGACATGAGATCATTTACTTCCTAGAAGGCAAGTATCAGTGTTGCCATTTTACAGGTACACAAACTGAGGCTCGGAGCTGTTAGACAGTCCTTCAGGATCCCCAAGCTGGGACACAGAAGCAGCAGAGTCTGGATTCATAGCTGACTCCAAAATCCACTTCTTTCCAATCACACCATGCAGCCTCTGAGAAAGGATTTTAACTCAGATGAACTAGGAACCAGAGGACACAGGGCCGATGAGTTGAAACTCAGCAAGGAAGGCAGGACTGGCTCCCTGCCATAGGCCTCTGCTGTCCCTGCTCAGCAGCTGAGTGAGGGGCTCCGCAGCAATCACCCCAACGTGCTGAGGGCTGGACTCGGGCTCCCCAACTGGGCAGCAGTAAGACCACTATGTTGTAACCACCAAGCACAGGCTGCCTGATTCAGCCTTAATGGGTGACCTAGTCAAGGTGTCTGGGGCCCCACATCACCCAACTTTCCCCTCATCACACCACCTCTCTGACATATCATAAGGCTCTCTTTCTATGTCTGACTACATTCTTTGAAAAAAGGAATAATGGACAGTGTTTTAAATGCCCAGTTGCCAAAACTGTATTTGGTACAGAGTAGATGCTCAACAAAGGTCAAGTGCATGAATGGAAGTGAATTCAACATCAAGGCTGGACAAGATGGCTTTAGACAATACATCCCAGACCTGAGCTATCACAGCTTAATGATTCCTAGATCAGCTTTCCATCTCTGGGCAGTAGCTCAGGGTCTCTTCAACACAGAGATTTCCCAACAGGATGAAGACATTACAGGTGCTTCAGTCTTTCAAACCTTCAAAGTACCCTCTTCAGGCTACTCCTTACCATCCTTCAGGAGCAAGCAAACACAGCTATTGGAACAGATGCTGTCAGCCCCATTTTAAAAACGGTAAACTGAGGCCCATAGGAGGGAACTGACTTCCCCAGGGCCAACATCCGGCAATGAGGCTGCTGATTCCCTAGTCTTTTCATGTTACCAAGCCTGGAGCATAGATGGGCAAAGTGAAGGGAAGGGGGTGGGGAGCGGGGTGGGAAAGAAGAGAGTGTGTGAGGAAGGGAAAATAAAAGGAAGAGAGGGGGCAGCTTCTCTGGAGAGTGTCACCGACAGCTGACAGTCGGTGACCCTATGGCCCTGGCAAACTCTGAGCTCCTTACTCGGGGCTGGCTGGGATGGGGGCGGGGGGGGGGGGTGGGTTAACTTGGCTCTCAGTGCCCCTGACTTACCCAGTTGCATCTAGGCCGGGAGAGCAAAAGCAAACTGAATGCTTCTCGGGGCTGAGTTAAAAAAAAAAACAGGAAGTCACAAGTGGCTTCACTCTCCTCTCAACTTGGGTCTCCCACAGTTGGGGTCAAGGGTGCACCAGAGACCTGACAGGCAGCTCCCTGGCAGCCTACTACTGTGGGAGTCAGCGGCACCTCCAGAACACGGGGTTTAGGGGGCTCTGCTGTCCCAGGAGGAGCAAGACCAGGAAGCCCACAGGGTGGGAAGTCAGGGAGATGGGCGTTTGGTGCCAGTTCCATCACTGTTTCATTCATTGAACAAAAACGGAGCACTGACTCTGTGCTAAATCCAGTGTGACCCAAGGGAGACGGCTCACTCTGAGCTCAGTTTTGTCATCTGCAAAGTGGGGACAGTCCCTACCACACAGCACTGTCATGAACCTCAGTGAGCTCCTCCAGTACACATGGAATCTGTTATTAGCACCGAGGCAGGATGCGAGGCACCCTGTGCCCGAGACGGCGGCGCTGCCCGCTTCCCAGAGCTGAGGGCAGGAGGGAGTGTGGGCAGGTCTGTCCCCATCTCTCTCCCCTCGCAGGAGCCCAGGGCCAGAAGGAGGTGAAGTTCTGCCAGCCCCCAGCCTGGGCCCAGTGCCCATGTTTATGACTGTTTATTTCAGAGCAAGTAGAAAGGAGAAATTAGAGCCATAAAAGACAGGACAACAGACCAATAAAAACCAGCTCCCAGAAGAGTCAGGAGGAGGAAGAGAGGCAAAACTGTCACCATAGCAACACAAGACAGTCAGAAGCACGCAGGGAAAACAGCCCCTGCTCTGCCTCCTCTCTTCACAGCAAAGCGAGCCTGGGACCCCATTTGGAGCTTACTGAAAGCCAAGGACCCACCCTAAAGCCTTAGTCCCCAGGCCCAGATGCCCAGCCTGACCTGGCTAGCAGCCCCCCTCCTCCCGCTGGCCCTCGTGCAGCATGGGTCCCAGTCCTTCAAGGTCCCAGCCCAGCCTGCTGTGCCCTGGGGACTCAGTGCTATGAAGATGGCCCAGGCTCTACCCAGAGAGATGGTGATGGTGAAAGATGGGAAAAGTTTCCAACAGAGTAAGGCAGGAGGGCCACAGAGCTGTGGGGGTGACCGAAGCCCAAAACACCTGCCCCATTGCTCTGCCCTGGAGTCCCTGGGGAGTAGGCAGGGAAACAGGGGCATGGGTGAGGAGACCGGGCCCAGAAGGGTGGCCGGTCAGTACTGGACCCTACACGCCCAACACAGTGGCTGGGGGAATTCTGAGGGTCTGGGGAGTGGGGTCAGCAAACACCTCTGGGGGTCTTAAATGGCAAAGGTCTTAGTTCTGGTCCCTGGGGACACTGGCCAGCAAGTCCGGACAGCTTGGAGAAGTATCCAGGGACCCAAAGGCCCATTATGACAGAGGCTTCTTAGTCCTTTAGCTGGCAGGCAAGACAGGTGTCTCCACCAAACTGCATGGCTGGCCTAGGACCAGCCTTTGGGGAAGTGGGTCAAATTGTTCCCAAAGCACAAGATCTGTAAAGTCCCTTTTGCCAGACTGGGATTCTCAGGAGGAAGAAGGTGATAGGGCCAGGAGGCCTGCGTCCTAGGCACAGCAGTGCGCTGACGGGCTAAGAACATCTGGGGCAGGCTGCAGCAGAAGGGTCCAGGTGTGCAGGCACTGGGGGAGGGGGGGTCATCCTTGCTTTTGGCTCTGTAGAGAGAGGTGGGGAGCCTGGGCCTCTGGTGGTGGGAAGGGGGAAGCAGAAGGTTGGGGTATCCTGGAAGAATGGCTTTGGAGCTGAAGATACCTGGCTGGGGGCGGGGGAACCGGGGGACCGCGTGGGTGAGGGGTGACAGGGGTGATCGGGGAACACAATCAGGAGGCAGCCGTGGGGAGCGGGGCGACGGGCGCACAGACGGACATCTGGACGGCGGATAGCTGGAGAAGGGCTGAAGGACTGGGTCCTCCGCTCTCCCTCCCTCCCTCTCTCTCTCTCCCTCCCTCTCCTGAAGGCTGCAGGGGCGTCGGGAGCTGGGGAAGGATGGCAGGGCTCGCCCCGGCGCCTCCCGAGCCCCCTTCCCTGCTGACCCCCACCCGCGCTCCCCGCCGCGCCCCCGCCGCATCCGCGCTGCGCTCACCCGGGGTCGCCGCCGCCTAGCTCGGCCGCGCGTCCGCCGCTGCCCCAGCTGCCGCCGCTGTGGACGCCTCTCCCGCGGCCGCCGCAGCCTGCGAGACGGCCCCGGAGCCCCGCCCCGGCCCGCCCCGCCCCGGCCCGCCCCCAGCCCGGCCCGCTGCGGCCGCCCCGCCCCGCCCCGGCCCCCGGGGCTCCCCACCCCCGCTCGCACCCGCCTCGCCCCACACGCGCCCGGCCACCCCTTCCGCGCCCGGGAGCTGGTGCCGGCCACCCCCGCACACGGTAGCCCCTGCCCTTATTTCGGCCTTGGCCCCTTGGCATTGGCCTCCGAGAGGAAGCCGGGACCAGCTCTTGCTGCTTCTACACACGGAATTCCTTCATACCCATTATTCCCTCCACGAAAACCGGAGAAAGGCCCTGCAATCAGTCCCGAGACGCGCACGCCCACCCTCAATTTAGTGCCCGCGCCACCAGCCAGACCACCCTAACCTCTATCCACACTCTCACATTACTTAAGGTTCTGAAGCCGGCCTTCCTCCCTGTCCTTCCGTGTTCATACTATGAGCAGAGTCCCAGCCCTGGGGGCTGCAGGGATCTGATGGGACCACCAAAGAAGTCTTGCAAATGCTCGATCCAAATAACCTAACTACCCAGAAGAGTAAGCCTGCAAAAACACTTTAAAAAATTCTGTGATGCAGGGGGAGTGTAGGGGATTACGGTGTCATTGTCATGATCATTGTTTTAAAACATCTGCCATGGAGGCTTTCTGCATTAGAGAGATTCAGGAAACCAGAGAGGTGCACGGTGCCAAACAGGTTGTGAGTCAGAGCTCCTCTTGGGGGCGTGGGGGGGCCGCCTTCTCCTGCTTCCTTTCCCAGTCAGCCAGAGCATCATGAAACATTTATTAAACCCCTACAATGAGCCTAGCCCTGTGTGGGGAGCCAGGTCAGTTTCAGGGGATGCGTAGGCTGGGAGCATAAGGTGCCCAGATCCCAGAGTGTGAAGAGCTTCGGGAGACTTTGCTCAATGCCATCTCCTTTCTGAGTTCCGTCCCCATGCGTAAGGTGATGCCAACCCAGCCTCCTTCAGACTCTGGAAAGCTTCTGTGAGCTGCTTAGCATGCCTCCTGCTCTGGGTTTTGGTAAGAATTCAGGTAAGGCCCAGGAAGGCACAGTCTAGTTAGAATGAAATATTCTCCCAATTGGAAGTGTCCTTCGAACAAACACTTTCTCCTTCTTCATTTGGGGGTCAAGTCCCCTCATGCCCCGCCCAGCCCCAGTTGTCAATCCCTGCAAAGACAATCCATTTTACCTTTGGGTGGCTCTATTAGAAGAGCCTTCTTAGCGTACCCCCATACATACACACACCACAACTTCTGGCTTATTCTCTCCACCTTGGACCTGGCCAGGATCTGGAAAGGACAAGATGAGCCAGCCACAGATGCCATTCACCCCATAAAACACTATCATTTCAGACCACAGGAATACTCCTTACTTTACACGGTCTGTCTCTAATAATAATATACCTTAGGCTGATGAGAAGACACTATTTGATGTATGAGATTTCACTTCCACACACTTAAAAGATGGCTTCTGTTTCAGTAATTGAGGGATACCTGTAGAGCATTGCCTAGCCCATTATGAAATAATAGGGTTTGTAATTATCAGTGTGGAATTTAATAATTAAGTGTTTCCTAAGACACAATAATCAGACGAAATGGTCTTTCAACTTCATTAGTAGTACTAATAACAGGTTTAGAGGTTACTATAATAAAGATTATAGTGAAATTAAACTGTCATTGAAGGGGCAGGTAGGTTGAGATTAAATTTCAAATGGTTTTCATTCACAATATAAGTTTGCTAAAATGAACCTTAATGTCTTAATTAAATTAACTTTGAACTATTCTAGTTTCAAGGACATCCTCTTCATGTATTTACTTTTTAAAAAGAGATTGCTCGAGCTTTGACACAGGGCCAGGCTGTGCTAAATGATGGCATAAAGACACGGGTCCCTGGCCCTGAGGAGGATTCAGACAGATTGCCAGTCCTGGTTTATGACAAGGCAGAAAAGAAAGCAGGCGAAAATAGGGGCATTTGCTGTATAGGCCCAGGCCAAGAAGGAATTCATCGAGATTGGGGGAAATGGGAAGTAGATTCCTTTAAGCTGAATCCTGAGGGGTGAGTTCGTCTTCAATAGGCAAGAAATGGGGTCACTGACACTCCAGGTAGACGGACAAAAGGGAGGTCCTGGTGGAAAGGGGTTTGGTGTGGCTGCAGTGCCTGAAGGATACACAAAGTGGCTGAGAGCAAAGAACCAGAACACCAGCCCAAGAAGGCTACCCTTGACCCTGGCAGCTTCAGGGAACTGGGTGGCCTTGACCAGAGTGTCAGATACAGAGTCTGACAACAGATGAAGCGTGCTTGGGGATTAAGTGGAGAAAGAAAAGGCAGCAATGAGAATGGTCAGTTGAAAAATACCATCATCACGGTGGGGGGGGGGGTGCCCGTGGGCTGCCCCCCAGGGATCAGGTTCTACTCTCTCACATTTGAAAACACATTCTCTAAACATCCCCAGTGCAGAGAACAATACATGGCACAAACTTGGTGCCCACTAATATTTACTGAATGGAATGCCAGGGTCATGAAGGATGAGCATCCTCTATGGAGACAAAGCCAAAAGGGCTGATCTCACTTGGGGCTCCTCGACATCCACTGAGATCCATTCTAGGGCTGGGAAAACATTCCCTCTAAATTCCTGGACAAATTAGGTTTTCTTTCTCAGAGTAAGTCGCTTCCTCCAAAAGATGATCTCTGCTTCTGAACCTTTGCTTCTCTGACACCTAGGATGATTCTCTCTCCCATCTCCAGCTATCAAAGACCAACCTGTTCTGATGCTCATGATGTCTGGGGCCAGTGGTTCGTGCTTCTTTACTCTGAATTTCTATGAAACTAACAATCTGAGCCACTTACCTCTCTGAGTCATCACGTACACAAGTTTCTTTAGGACAAGGACCTTCTCTGAGACATGGATAAAACTTCCACTTGATGTGAAAACGAAGCTGAGCATAAATCCTGATTCTACCACTCACTGGCTGTGTGAATTTAAGTTACTTTGGAGTTTTGGTTTTCTCTTCTATAAAATGGAAGTAATAAAACCCACCGCAGAAGGTTGATGGGAAGGCTGACGTAAATCCTTTGTAGCTGTGAAGGATAGAGCAATCGGGTGTGTGTGTGCATGTGTGTGTGTTGCATCCTAGTGCCTTGAATAATGCTGGCCATATGATTGCAGATGAGCTGGTTAGTGGGTTGATTCATAGATGAGGATGAGAAGTGGAGGCTGAATGATCGATCCTGTGTCCCAGAGCCCTACAGTGCTCTCTGTTCGCCACTCTCCAGGAAGGAATCTTTATTTTATCTTATTTTAAAGATTTTATTTATTTATTTATTTATTTATTTATTTATTTATTTATTTATTT